TGGAAAGGTGGTCGTTTTTCTCGGTTTGGACAGATCATTCACATCACATCAGACCCAGCAAGGGTTCTAGCTGGGAAAGCATCTTCTCATGTCATTTCCTATGAGGGCAATAGCTATGTGTAAGCTGGGTTCATTTCCATTATGGGCCCTCTCATTCACAAATTCTAATAGCAGCACCATTTGCTCTTGTGCAACAATAGAGCAGTGATTTCTTAGGGCTCTGAAAATTATATGCATATGCACAGAGGACGATCTGCCTTGTTGCTGGGTATCTTATCTGGGAAATTATAAGTTGAATGACAAGGGATCTGGCCCTTGCCAGAGAGATTTGGAAATCTTACTTTGCCTGAAGGACCAACATATGTATTGCAGTCAGAAAAACCTGGGTTTGAATTCCAGCTCTCCATTTACTCACTGAGTATGTTTTAAGTTGTGTAACTTCCCCATTCATCAATTTCTCACTTGAACTTGAAATAAAAGACCAGTATATACAGAAGAACAGCATTTGGCATGTACTAAATATTCAAGAATGGTGATGTTGTTAATATTTTCACCTTTTGGTGTATTAATAATGTTATTAACCATAATACTAATAGCAACAAATTTTTAGATATTAACTGACCTCCTAAGTATAAACTGAGATCATATAACAGCTACTCAAAGATGTTAGTTTCTGCTTCTCCCCTCCAATTACCGATACCCACTTACAAATTCTAGAGACACTGTATGTTTTCTTCTGTCTATGGTAGAAACAGGTTCAACATGACTCAAAGTCCTTTGGTTCCATATTTTGGGAACAGATTTCTCTCCCTGATTTGGGGCAAGTCATCATCCAGAAGGAAGGAAAAGTGAAAAAGTAAAGGATATGTCAAGTTAGACTCAGTTACGGCAAGAGTGGGAACACGTCTGAAGAGACAGATAGTGTTTAATGGCCAATGCATTTGTCCAAAGGAATCATTTTCACTGGCCAGGAGCCCAATTAAACCTGTAAAATGAAAATAGAGAAAATCAGATTAACGAGCCAGTCATTAGTGAGGAAAAGACCCAGCTAATTCTGTGTTTAGCATGACGGATGGGCCCAGAGCAAATAATTGGATGACATCCATCAAATGTAAAATAAAAGGTGTCACTGAAAGGGAAAGTGGTAATAATCTGTGGGATTTACAATGCCAGCAAATTCTCTTGTAAGGAAGAGAAAAGTTCATCAAAATAGATTAATAGTCACTAAACTTTATTTCTTCCTTGTGTGGTTGCCAGAGAACCACACAAATAATAGTGGAGAGGCAGCAAATGTATCAACCTGGGATCTTCCCAGCAGTGCCAGGATTCTACTCCCAAGGTGGAGGTGCCCAGCTAATGTTTGGAGATGAATTCCTGTAACTTACTGGAAGTAGGAGGAGCACATTTCTTCCCCACCTCTGGTTGGAGTCATGGAGCAATGGAAGAAGTCAAATGCTCAGTCCCTCTGCTTAAGCAGATGGGTCCCAACAATTCGGTATTCCTGCTCTGTGCCCAACCTGTGGGGGACTTGGGCTCCTGTGAAGGGCTCAGGCATAGGCTGGGGTTGTATACTGTCTGTGTGATGAAAGGCTGTGTGATGTTGGGGAAGGTAACTGACCTCTCCCAGCTTCAGTTTCCTGATTGGATGGCGAGGAATGTGTATATCCAACCAACTGACACTTGAGGCTAGCTGGGCCCTCACAGTTCAAATCCATGTTATTTCAGGGTCAACTGTATACCTGTAAATATATATATATATATATACACACACACACACACACATATGTATGTTTATATATATATATATATATATACTTACATATAATCCTCTAATGGTTAATAACTGTTTATGGTAGAATATTCTGTCATAAGCTTTCATTGCCTGGTAGCCATTATTCCTCTTATTTTATTGCTTTACCTTTTTTACAAAGACATCAATTTTAAGATGCAGCATCTATATCATAAAAGATTTTCTGGGAATACAAAGAAACAAATATATACAAGTGACAATGACAGAGATTTTTAATGTTTTAATAAAAAGGATTTTGGAATCAAGGAATATACTATATTGTAACTGAGAGAAAAGTAAGATGAATGAAGGACTCTTCTTAATAGAGGAAGAGGAGAACAGGCTCAGAATCAAACTTTATCATGTTCAAATTTGTCATATTTTGGAGCAAGTCATTCCATATGTATAGCCTCTGCAGGATTGCTGTGAGGATTAAACTGGACAATTTGCATAAGGACCACATGCAGGTCTGGAGCATGCTAGGTCCTCTCTCAGCCCCTGAAAGTCTTGTCATTATTTACTGGTATGAATCCACTGATCACTTGCCTGGAAACCAGCACTGCCTAAGAGTCAGGGCAGTTACAGTTGTGTGATAAGAATGGAGGCGTCAGTCTAGGCGTGTGTCTACCACTGGAGTGAACAACGAGGGGGTTGTCCAAATGGGAAGAGCAAAGTTTAGAAGTTGAGAGGAGGGAGAAATTACAGTAAATTGATGCCATCCAAAAACCTTGCATGAACTCCTGGGTCTTATACTGATGTTTAAAGCATCAGTTGGCTTTCATTGGATACAAAGGGGGCACCGTCAGAATAGGAGAAGTTTGCTGTGGTTCCTGCAGAGAGCTAATTTTTTTTTTTAAGATTTATTTATTTATACAAGAACTGGGGTACAGTCAGAGGCACAGGAGGGTGAGAGAATTCACCAGAGACAGAGTGGGGAGCAGAACAGGCAGACAGACCAAAGACACTGCTGAGGGGAGCAGCAGGCAAGGCAGGAGAGGTCTGCCACGCCATCTGGGTTTCTCCCTGCCTGGCTGGGAATCAAACCAGCACTGCAGAGGCTGCGGACAGCTTCACAGCACAGCGCTCAACCCACTGTGCCACCAGGGAGGCTCCCAGAGAGCTCATTTTTAAGCACATGATAGATAACCAAAGGATATCCTTTGGGTTGGGGTTTAAAAACTTTATCCCTGGGTACAGGATCCCCTTTGAGGAAGATGCACATGTTTTAGAACCAGACAGGTGATGTCACCCAACATGGTAGAATGTGCTGGACACACTTTGAAATGTGGTCTGTTTTGTTATATTTATTTCATCTCACTTAAATAACAAACCTTTCTTGTGATTGTAAACTCAAAGTTCAGGAAAGATCCGTGGCAGCAGCAGCATCTAGAAACTTATTAGAAATGACATTTGGACCCCACCCCAAGTACACTGAATCAGCAGCTCTGTGGGTGTCTGAATTTTAACAAGATTTCCAGGTGATTCTGATCCCTGGGAAAGTTTAAAAGGTAGTGATATAGTTCTTGAATGGCAGATCTGTTTAGTTGTTTGGTGTTATAATTAAAAATAAAATCCAGCTAAACAAATTCACGCAATCATGTGAGACTAATGGTGACTGTGTTTAGATCCAAGGATTATATTTAAACTCATTCTCTGCAGTCGGGGTTTATTGTCAAGAGGAAAAAAAAAGACTTCTTAGCAGCTCATTCATCTTAATATGTCAACACCCCACCTTTAAGCCAATGCTGAACCATATAGATTCAGAACAGATGTCTTGTCAAAAAAAAAAAAAATAAGTGCCTCATAGAATAGGAGACAAAAATGCTTCTAATGAGGAAATAGAGATGTAGACATAATGTTGAATATCTGGGAGAAAACCAGTGGCTCCACTGCTTCACAGCCTTCATTTTTGTACCAAGTGCTTTTCTAAGGTTCTGCTGCATGCTGACTCTAACACCTGCCCTACCTGGTAGCTTCTGGTGCCTGCTTTGTGGGCTTGCAATCTGTGCAGCGAGCATGGGGGAGCCCTGGAGATGCCTGCTCTCAGAGTGAGGAGTGATGGGTGGCTTTCATCAGAGCTGTTCCACCTCCTGCTCCCAGCAGCCATGGTGGCGGGGTGCCAGATCTGAACCCCAGTGGTGAACTGGCCTTCCGCCAGCCAGCGCTTAGGTCTTCGTGAGTACGGAGCATGGGCCTCCAGTAATTGCCTCCTCAGCACAGCAGCCTGCTTGCTATTGTTGTCCTGCTATTTTCCCCGAACAGGCTATGTTATCTTCTCTTGTGAATATTAATTTCCCCCGAGTTTGGATAATTGGGCCGAGAGAAGCCATCTGCAGAGCTGCGCCATCTTGGCAGAACTTCCCGGCAAGCCGAGGCCAGAGGACCGGCTCTCAGGATGGTTTCCAGCTTCCTCTAGAGTCCATCCCCTCCCTCGTGAGACCACAGGGTGACTCCCTGCCAGAAGCTGGATGGCAGGGCTGGGACTGAAACCCAAGTTCCTTCTCTGACCTTTGCTGCCTTTAAGTAACTTGCACACTGGAAAGAATCAATAAAAATTTGCCCAATGCTTGGATTTGTAAATATGAAGGAAAAAATCAGTGCTCTGCTCAGAAGTGAAATTGATTTCAAATTCTGATCTCAAAGTGAGGGGTGACAGTTGGGGGTGTCCTTCAGCAGGGATATTATACCCTGGTGCTCCAGGCAGCTGCTGTGAATGGATGCCAGGTTTGGAATGGAGTGAGGACTCGTCCGTATCGAGTGCTTTCAGCAACAGCAATTAATCAGATCGGGACGAAAATTACTTTGACAATCATACCATAGTTAGAATAGATTCAAAATTGTTTAAAAAAGACTAAATAATAAATATAATAAGTGGATCTGGGGTGCAGTCTGCATAGCTTCTCTGTTTTCAGTGGAAAGTTTTTATTAGGTGAGTACCTTGGCAGATCAGAGTGGCTGAATACAGTCCCTGCTGCTGTGGAAAGTGCCAGCTGTCAGGAAAGTCTGCTATCACTGCCCAAGTGTTGTCTGAGGGCCGTGGCATGGAAGTACCTCAGGGGGCCATGGGGATGGAGGGTCAACGCCAGCTAGGGATATTCTCTAGAAGGCTATCAGCAGCCAGGTGTGGCTATTGATGGAGAGACTGATGCTTTGCAGCTTGTGCCATGATCTGTGGCCTTACCTGACACCTTTGTGTTTCCCCACTATCCAGGTAACAACTGGTGGAAGAGCCAGCTACTATGTGTCCTACCGGAGAGAGGCCTTTGCCCAGATAAAGCTGCCCAAATACTCTCTGCCCAAGGTATGCACCACCTGCTGGCCAGGTCCTGCTAGGGGAGAGTTTGGGTTGCAAGGGGGTGATCTCTGCCTGGGAGGTGGCTGGAAGTCATCCTGGCTTACCCTGAGGCTTTGGCCTCTGCTGATATTGTTGAATCTGGGTTGTATTTCTCTCTCAGCATTGTGCATGGAAAAGAACTTTGATTTCCCATGACTCAAATATCCCATGTACCTTGGGTCATTTTCCAGGGGTGGTAGCAAAAGGAACACTGACTTTGGAGTCCCTTTTACGGCCTCTCCCCCATCCTGGCTCAGAGAGGAGACAGGATGCTCTGTGCACGAGTGTGCATATGTGTGTATGTGCACATGGTATAAGTGCATATGCATGTTTGCGTGCACATGTGCACATGCCTGAAGGTACACAGGCAAGTCTCATGGTTTTCTTCTTCGCTCTCCATTTTAATGCTAAATATAAATACACTACCTGTACTTCTGCTACCTTCTGCCAATATGAGTAATTAAAAAGGAATAACTTACTATAATGTTAGTATCAAATAACTGTGTTTTAACTCCTCTATTGGAAAAATCATAAAATTCACTCTGTAAGTTTTGTGAAGGTGGCTTCCGGGAGATGGATCTTAGATGTGAGCATGGGCAGGATATAATTGCATCACCTAATGAGGCTTCAGAGAAGCACCATCTCTGCTGGACACATATCAAATGGGATGTTTCAAGGCCTGGGGTCTCTAAGCTGGTGCTGGGGAGTCCAGAAGAGGGAGGGATTTTGGGATAAGAAAGTGAATTGACTTCTACCCACTGATTGCTTTTCTTCATTCAGTTCTTCCCATAGGTAGGTATCTAATAATTCATTCATTTATATCTGCTTTTATTCATCCATCAAGCTATTCTTTTTTCTATTTATTTTTTACTCGTGCCAGACATTGAACTAAGCTCTATAGCTAGAGAATGAAGCAGATACAAATGGTCTCTTGCCTTCATGGAGCTTATTTTCTGGTAGAGAAGAGAGGCTATAGGTTTGGAAGTTCAAGGACCATTGCGGAATAAAGGGTACAGCAGATGAAGGTGGTGAGGGTGTGTTTCATCAATAAATTAGTCTTTAAGTCAATCTAAGAGGGATACAATATTAACCCTGCAAACCAGTGTTGGGGAAGCTGATAGAAAATACTTGTGCAGGTCCTAAGTAGGAAAGAGATGGCTCTCTCAACAATGTAAACAAAATCTGAAGACACTGGTGTTGAGAGAGAGGGGTGGGCAGGGCCCTCCGGGCCCATGTCAATCAATTTCCCTTTTTTTTGATTGTGGTTGAAGGGTGTTCCTCTCAGACACTCTAAACCCCCAGGAAAGGTATATCCCTGCTTGGAGAAGATGAGGAAAAGGGGGTTCACATTCTCCCCTTTCTAAAGGAGCAGGGCCCCTCACAGTATCCTGATGGGTGATCTCCACATATTGGCCCAGGAGAGGAGTTTCCGAAACTTTCCAAACATTTCCCCAGTAGAGGGCTTATTTCCTCTCTGTCTGTGTGCATACTTTATTTATTTTCAACTTTCTTAGGAAAACAAACAGTTTGCTCCCCTGGGTAGTGTGGCTGCAGGTGGGAACAAATGAAGCCTTGAATTGATCACAAGCCTAGAACACTCCATTAACGACTAGCAACCCCATGGCAATTTATTGCAGTGTGCACCATCCGTGCGGGCCCTTTTATAGAACTTCATCCAGAGCAGCTTCTCATTAATATGAGGGCTGCTGTGAAAATAGCTGGATGGTTATCGATCCTCTTTATTAGCTGGTATCAGCCCAGATTTTCATCCTCAATGCTGAGGAGGAGAGGACAGGTGTGGAGAATAGGGGGGCATCGGTGCTTTCTGTCGCTTAAAAATGGAAATGATTTTCAGCACAAGGTTGCTGTTCTGTGTTTTGCTAAGGCAACCGCTGGGCATCTTGTTTAAAAACAAAAGCACAGAAAAGCTCCCTTTGCCCTGCACCTCTGCTCCCAACCTGTCTGTTCAGAACACCGTCTCCTGGGGTGCTCCCTGGCTTTGGAGTGTTTGCAGAGGTGGAATGAAGACCATTAATAATGAAGACCATTATTAAGGACAACCACCTCTGCCGAGTCCTCCATAACCTTGTCTCTGCACATCTGGTTGACACTTCCAGTCCAGTAGGCTCAAGAAGCACATAAAAGCAGATGACAAGGGGCAGGGGTTAAGGGGCCACCAGCAGTGGTGCCCAGGGAACAGGCGATGGAGCAGAAACCTGGGCTTTCATTCCAGCTCACCCACTTACTGCCCCACGAGCCCAGGTCTTCTTGTCTATGAAATGGGATCATGACCAAGCTATGGGGATTTGTGAAATGGATCCTTGTTGGTGAAGTGGCAAGTGTTGAGCAAGTCTAAGGAAGAGTGTGACCCAGAGGTCAAGTTTAATACTAACCCTCTTAAGCTGCCTGGTGTGGCCATCAGCGCTCCTTGCTGGGTCACACCCCAGCCTGACCTTGGACTTGGTGTTGTCAGAAGCTCTCACTTTACCACATCTCTCTAAAAAGCCCTCCTTTAGCTCTCAGATTTGGATTTATTTTTCACTTGCTACTCTAATCATCATTTTTAAAAGAGAACATTTTTTTGTTTGTTTTTTTACTTTCTTGTTTATTTCTAAAACTCAGTTTGGAAGTAATGACGCTGAACTCTCACTAAGCCCTGTATTCCTGGAATACAGGGACATTTAAGAAAGCCCCACTCTCTTTAATGTTTCTGGACATGTCTCACTATAAAGAACCACCCTTCTCCTTGTCTTGCTAAGACTCAGATGCCCCCTGTTTGCCTTTGATATGAAAGGATTCTCATTCTTTGTCTCTTGAATGATTCGCTGAACTACTTCTCCCCATTGACTCTGATCTATGGACAAAATACCTGCTAATTTGACTTGACTAAATTTAACGTGACTTTTACTCTCTCCCTGCTGCCCACCCCCCACCCCACTCCAAGCAAGCCCTTGAACTTTAACCCACTCTTGAAAAGATGCCAACTTTACAACCACTTTTGATTGCCCTCTTTCTGTTATTCCACTAAAAATTCTCTCTTTTGTTACCAGAGTCCTTCTGCTTGCCAAATCCAATTGACATGTCTAAATCTCCTTCTTACCCTCTCTGGAATATTTGACACTGTTGAAAAAACAGAAATCCACACTTGGTTGTGCTCTCTTTAGCATATTTTAATTTCGTTTCCAGATCCCCTTCCCTGCCATCCTTTAAATGACATTCCCATGTTTACCTTCCATTCTGCTTACTTCAAGGTTGACCTCATCCTGTTTTCATATCAGTGACTCTCACATTCACACCTCAGACCTTACCTCTCCAATGAACTCAGTGAGGTACATCCCCCTGATGACCCTGCTCAATAACTCCAGAACCAAGATTATGTCCTCTATATCTAATCCTTCTCCAAATTGTACTCACCCCATTTATTTATACAGTAAAATTTTGTTGGTTTTCATGTACTACATACTCCGGTAAGTACTAGACATAATGAAACATGAGAGACATAGTTTCTGCCTTCTGGGAGGGCATTATAGTCTAATGAGAGAGATAAACATCAAACAAATAACTACACAAGTAATTAATTATGATTGTAGTAACTACTCTAAAGAAAGGCAGAACACTTTATATGTCAGATATCTGAGATACTAAAGATCTGTCCTTCTTCTTATTCCCCAGTCGATCCTACCTCCCTAATATCTCATCAATATGTGTCATAAGATTCTTACAGATAAATTATTTGATTAATTTAGTCTCTCCTGAGTTACTACCTAGATTTTTGCAATGACCTTTAAAGACTTCCTCCTTACCTCTAGCACTGGCCCCATATAAACCCCCTCTTCCACAAGGAAAACACTCATGTGGTGAATCTGATCTCTCCAACCAAATTTCTGTACTTCCTACCCCTAATCTTCCATTCTCTTGCTTAAAATCTTATGATAGCACTGTACTTCCTTCTGAGTAAGACTTGGGTGTGCTACACAGAACTTCTTGTGATGGGGCCACTTCCTGTCCTCACCTCCCTCAGAAGAAGCTGTTCAAGCTATTCCAAGTTCCACACATTTTCTCTTTCTCACTGTAAGCCATGGTAGTCCCCTCACCATCTCTAGTACCTCTGCTGTAACCGTTGGTCAAGTGACAGAAGTCCGGGAGAGTATGTGATGTCGCCACACCAAGTTGGACTCTTCTTGAGGCCAGGTTCTGCATTGTTATCCCTGCATTTCTAGTGTAATGTTTGGCAAATGGAAGATGTTAACAAATTTATCTTATGAACAAAATTACTTTAGACCCTGATTACAAGAAAATGTAGTAACAATGAAGTATTTTCACTACTGTACATCTGGGGAGTCACAAGTTTACATTTTCAGAAAGCAAGTCTGACTCTCTCATGTCACTGTATTGACAGGGAGTAGGGAACATGTTATATTTGTTTTCTAGATAAAAACATGTATGTGGTTATGTCTGTTGCTTTCCAAATTCTAAGTTTAGTAAAGACTGGAACAGAATTTACTCTTATTCCTCCCTTCAGTTTCTGTCTTCATGACCAATCAGATTTCCTTTGAATGTTCTCAAAAAACATAGCAAGAATGTGTTTGCAAGGAGGTGGCATGTGCATTGGATTTAGATTGATGTAGCAGGATTTGAGAACTAACATTTGTTATTATCCAGATCCCTATTGGGCCAAATTTAACCATTGATGCCTTCCTTTGTTCTTGAAGACTTAATATTCTGGTTATTATTGGTTGACTTCTATTAATTGTAAGAACTATATGGAGCAAGGTCACACTTCAATAAGAGTGATTCCCAGACTACATGCACCAGCATCATCTGGAGGGATAGTTCAAAAGGTAGGACTGAAGATTCAACATCTGACATACTGAATTAGAATCTCAGGCACTGAAACGCATGAGTCCACTTGCCATTCAGTTTCCAGGTCATTATAATATATATTGATCTTATACTCCCACTAATAGAGAGTTTGACTTCTTTATTTAAATAGTCTTGGGTTTAAATCTTAGTATCCATCATTTGTTAGATAAGTAACATCATTTGTTAGATAAGTAACTTTGGCAAATTAAGAATTTCTCAGACATCCCAGAATCAAAGTTATTGTAGAGAAGTTTCTCACTGCAGAGCCTGGAATATCTGTTTACCAGACAACATGGTCCCAGCATAGTTCTAAACTAAGAGGCACTCAACAAATCTGGCTGCCTCCAATCCTGACCATGCTCCAGTGTTTTTGTTGTTTTTTCCACTTCTTTTACATTCATTTAGTTTGAAATAACTTAGCTCATTCATTTTTATAACCAAAACATCTGGGAAAAGCCAGGCATTTCAATTGCATTTTTAACAGGGTAAGTGAATTTAATCCGTATTTCCTGCAGCTGCTATTTCCCCTCCTACTGGGTTCTTGGGCTTTCATTCCACACCAACACAACAAGAGCTCATCACATGGATTTTTAAGAGTAAGCCTTATTTCCATTTTCAAGCAGCTCAGCAGGAAATTTTAATTCTACAAGGTGGGTAAGCACAAATGAGTTAGTGAGGTCCTAGTCAAGGTGACCCAGGGAGTTCAAGGCCAGAGGCTGAGATCCAACACAGAATTCTCCAACAAAAATCCAGAACTTACTTTCCCACTTCCAAGTTGTCCAAATCAAATGGGCTGCTCCTTCATAAATCACCCGGGAGGAGCTCATCATAGTTCTGATTTATAGATATTATTGCCTCCCTGTATTGTTGAAATAATTTCTTGGAAAGTTTGGTCAAATAAGGTGAAGACTGGACACAGCCTGATTATTTTCTTACTGTCAACTCACTTCCCATGCCCCTGTAACCAGTGTTTTCCACTGCAAGGCTGTCTCCCCTTTTGTTTTCCAGAAATGTGATTATTCTTTGGTGTGTGCATACCTGTATATGTCTGCATTTTTTTACTACTCCCATTTGTCAAATGTTTATGCTTTTTAACATTTCCTCCTGAAAAATGTAATTTCCTTACATAAGGATGTGCATTTGTAATAATCTTTGCACAGTACCTTGCCACATATACAAACTAACTTTTATAAACCACTTTGAACATTTAGAATTGATTAGAAATGAGTCACTACAAAAAAAAAAAAAACTGAGGTGACTTCAGGGACCAGAAGTTAACATTAATTTGTAAATGACAGGTCATAAGAGTACCTGGATACATAGTATTAAGATTCCAGTGAGTGTGGACTCCACCTAAAATAGCACTTTCTTAGGTGTTCAGTGGAGGCTATGGTCAAATCAAACATTTATAATTTATATTCATTTCTTGGGTTATTGATCTGCAACTTCTGATCTGAGGGCTATATATTCAAATGGATAGAAGCTAACAATTAGGTGATTATCATTCCACAGAGGATCTAAAACTGGTTCTGGCACTAAGTAACCTGAAGCAAGTTGGCAGACCTCTATCTGCCTTAGTTTACTCCTCAGCAAAATGGGAATAGTCATACCTAATGCATCATAGAATTACTTGAAATTTTGATTGAAATAATACATTTAGATGACTTAGAATAATGCCCAAATAGTAGCCCAACTCTTCACTATTTTGGTGAAAAAAAAAACATGAAACTCATGGAAACTGAGACATTTAACATTACACAACTGATTTGTAGCAGAGCTTTTACTGTGACTCAAAACACTAAATTCTGGGTTGAATATTCTCTCCTCTAAACCAGTGATTTTCAAATATTACTTTATTAACAACAGACCTCCCCTCCCCTTCCTTCACTCCTAAAATTTACACTAATATTCAATATAAATAGTTTTAAGTGATGCTGCTCTGGATTAAACAGTTGGAGGTTAAGAGCCCCACCCACTGCTATGCCACCCTTCTTGTGACCCCAAGACTGTGAAGATTCCAAAGAAATATGTGAAAACCACTACACTAAAACTTTTGAAAACCTAAATGAGTATCTAAAGAAGAGCTAACCCTGTCTTCTTTGCATGTCTGAGTTTTCTCTTGCAAGTTTATGTATTTCTGTTAGCATTGACAATAACTTTCAGATATCAACATAAAAAATGAAAGCAGATGAATCCCTTGAAGTCATGGAAAATGATACTCGCCAAAGCCCCGTGCGCCCATCTTCCCATCACTTAGCAAGGAATAGAAATCATGAGGCTCACAATTTATGGTGTTGGTCCACAAGTAATTGTTTATCATTGACTATAACTCAAGCTTTTTCTCAAACATTTCATAAGTCATTGTAATTATTCTGGCGGCTCCCATGAGGCAGGAAAGTGTGGAGATCTGCTGCCTCACAGGCCTTCTCTCTTCTCACAGGACATGCACATCATCAGTACCGATGAGAACCAAGTTTTCGCAGCAGTCCAAGAATGGAACCAAAATGACACGTACAACCTCTACATCTCAGACACGCGTGGGATCTACTTCACCCTAGCCATGGAGAATATTAAGAGCAGCCGAGGTCTAATGGGAAACATCATTATTGAATTGTACGAGGTATGAAGTCAAGGATTCTTATTACCTGGATTCACCTCTTTCCCTTGGTTTTAATGGTTAAAGAAACATCAGGATTAGAGTCAGATAGTCTTGGGTTCAGGTTGCAGCTATGACACTTAGCAATCTGTGACTTTGGGAGGAATTTTGGGATAAAAAATTTACCAGATGAGATTATTATGACAATGAGAGAAGTGACTGTAAAGAATCTAGTATGGTGTAATGCAATAGACCCTCCACAGAAGTCAAGTAAGGTTGATGTTCTTGTATGCGTGATAATGATTACAAGCCTTCCATGAACGTCCTCGATCTCAGCATGATCTGCTCTCTTCAAAACCCTTTTCAGCTTTCTACTTCTCATGGACTCTGAGCAGAGGAAGTAGTAGTGTCTTTGTACCTTTCATTGTTTGGAAAATCATGTCTCATGAACAAATTTTATGGGAAAAGAAAAGTGAATATCGGTGCTGAGAGTGAGTGTATCTGTAAAATGCTACCAGATGCCAACATGTATGTATGGTGCAGAACTGGCCTTGACATATATATATATTTTTTTTTCAGTATAATCTCATTTCTTCAGTTTTATTAATGTTTTGTTTTTATATTTGCTCACCAGTTAAAGAATAAAGTACCCAGAAAACCAAGTGAATCTACATAGAAGCCAGAGAAAAAAATAGTTGTTTCAATGATTATAAGGAAGTAGTACCTTTTTTACATACAGACAGTGTGTGAACATTGACAGTCCTGGTCACAGTGAAGGGACTTGACCCACCACCTCAGTGTAATAGATTAATTTGAGCAAAGAAAGTGTCTCATTATCCAACACTAAGTAGTGACTGCCCATACAGCTTGCACAGGCTGTGTTGGTTGAGGTCATTCATTCATGGAAAGACAAGTTGTCTGTTGTGGGTGGTAACGGCTTAGGTGAGCTGCTCCCTTGTAAGATTTCCTCTTTGGGGAGTGGGATTGGCTTCAGATCCAGAGCTGAGGGATTCATGTGTGAGTTTCTGCTTTACAGTGGGCTCTTCTGAGCAGTGCTATCAAAGTTCAGCACTCTTTCACTGGTGTGGAACGTGAGTCATTGAGTGTGGTGAAAATATTCAAAATTCTAGTTATTTTATTACATAGATATAGGGTTAAACAAAGGCATGGAGAAATGGAAGGATTTTTTTTTTTTTGAAAAAGAAAGGAAAGTAAACATGTTAAAATAAAGCCACTAGAAGTTCCATAATTTCTTAGGAGGTAGTTGACAAATGCTGAAATAATTACCTTAAGAAACAATGCCCTACTCTGGAAAACATCCAGGATTTTTCCCTAGAGTTGTGAAGACTGATGGAGATGACTCAGGGGTGTGGATGGCTTTGGGAAACTTGTATGTCCATGGCTCTAATTTTATCAGGAAACAGAATATATCTTTTGTTACTCGGCAGTACATCTCAGAGGAAGGTTTGGATAAATGTTCCCAGGACTAAGGCCATTCCAAGCACATTCCTATTTGCACAAGTGAGATTAGAGATAAGATTATTCATGCTGCTGTGGTCAGGTCCCAATAGGAGAAGGTAGCCATTGCTGAAGATGACCTTTCATTTGAGAAATCCCCTGGACTTAAACTCCACTGATATGGTAAGTTTGCTACTATGCTGTCCCTTCCCTAAGAAAGGGAGCTTGGGATTCCTTGGTCATTTAGAATAGTGAGACACTTTAATCTGAAGTGGAGCATGAATCAAAATGAAGAATGTATATAGATAACGTGTATTTTTTCTTCTTCTTGCTGAAGTCAGTCTTCCGTTTTTAGTCTTGTTGGGGAAAATAAATGCACAGTGTCACTGCATCTACAGAAGAGCAAGACATACCAGGCAAGGCAGCTTCTCTAAAACCAGCTCTCCTGAGCTGCTTTGCCATTCAATTTTTCCAGGGTCAATTGTGCCCTTTCTTTGTGTTTCAGCCTTTGAGGAAAGCAAGAGATGTATTGTTTTGTATAATCAGGGAGCTTGCAATATAGTTTGTTGGCTCTGTGGGGATCACTAAACAATGTTCCCCTTTCACTTGTGCAAGATTAGAACTACTTAAAACAGAGGGACAAAGGGTGAGACAAATGGAGACCAAATGTCAACTTCATTGCTTTTAAAAGAAATATAGCAGTAAGTGGACTTGTTAATAACATGGCTCAGAATTGGACTCATCCATCCAATCACAGACAGACATAGTAAATCAAACCTTCCATGGGGTCTATTTATGTAACACCACAGTATTGAGGTACAGAGAATGGAGTCTTTGTAGGCAGATCCCCAACACAGCAGAGATGGGGATGAGCAGTACATGCCTAGTTCTTTCTCTTAAATTTACCAATCTGATTATTAGCCCTTTTGCCCTGGGAGGAAGAAATGAAGTAATGGTAGGCATTCCAAATGTCAAGAATGATGTGAGTCAAGAACTGGATGGATGGTGTAGAGTTGTGAGACTATGAACTAGCTGGTCTAATTATATAGAATAGATGCTTGTCAGGTACAAGAATGAGTCCTGGATAAGTAGTTGCAGTTCAGCTTTTGGAAGGCATTTAATACCAAGGGAATAAATTGGATCCTGACATTATCTAGACCATGACCATATTGAAGGTTTTTAGAGGGCAGTGCTGTTTTGCACCTGGAGATACATTCTGTGATTTGGAGATAAAATTCAATTTAATTGGTCTCTAGGGGTCATTAGACTTTAACCTTCTTCACTGGAGAGTCACATAGAAATGAAGATTGTGTACCATATGGCCAGTTAGCAGAGACTATAATTTTCCTGGACTCTAAATGCCCTTGAGTAATGCAGCTGGGAAAACCAGTATGTTTTCACTTTCAATTCAGCTAAATTAACACACTTCCATGGTGGCTATTTTGTTTGATGAGACTAGTGCATGAAACTTACCATCTACTGAGAGGAATTAAAGGACTCTTAGTGTTCACAGTCTAACTTGTGTTAGAGGTGCTGTGCCCCCATTTGTGGGATCACTAAACAGGAACGTTAGTTCTAACTTAGAAATTGGGGGAGACTTAAAGATGAGTTTGCTAAAAGAGTGATAATGATAATCTAGATAATGGGTAGTGTGGGAGAAAAGCATGCCTGATAGAGAAGCATGAGATTTCTTCATGAGAAGAAAACAGGATTCTGATGAGTAGAAATCTATTTTTTTTGCAAATTGTTGGGTGACCTTGGGAAATAGTGGAGATGAAGATTATCATGATGTTAGTTGACTAAAGAGTTGGGCAGTTATTGTGTGGGCTCTAAAAATAGTCTTTCTCTATTTTTCCCCTTGTATCTGCATACCAAACAAATAATGTTTACCTGTTGATGTAATTCTATGCCAAGTTAATGTATAATATACATTATCAAGTAGCAGGATAAGGTACTTGTTTTCCCTTTTCTGAAATGTCAGAAATAGGTAGCACAGATGTGAGGAAGCTCAGGCTGGCCATTTCAAGCTATTGGTATATTGCTCCATCTTCCAGGGCAACTCACAGACCTCTGGTTGACACTGGAAAAGGGACAAAGAGTGATGACTTATTTACAAAATCACCTTGCAGGTCTTGGCACTGACTAACCTTGGAAGCCATGAGGATCAACCCCACTGCACTCCCTAAAACCTAATAAGATAGAAATATTGTCTCTTTTCTGATCTGTTGAAGCAATCTCCTTTTGTGGGCAGCTTTTCCCCTGCCCTCCCTTAAATACCTGCATCAAAATACAATCCATCACAATACAACCCTATTACAATACTATCCTATCACAATACAATGCTATAATCAGGGAGAAAATAATTCTTGAAGGCCAAATAATAATCAGTCTCTTCTTAAAGCTTTCAAGCCCATTCTAGCAAAATCAGGCTGGTGTTGAAGTGAATGTAGTCAATTGTGTGTGGTTACCATTATTTTTATGACACTCTTTTCATTTAGAGTTCTGTTGGGGTTTCTTCACATCTCTAACTCCCAGCTACCTTTCTTCTTCATTGCTTTCCACTGGTAAATCAAGAAACAAATAACCATTCTACTATCTTCAGTTATACTGTGGAAACATGCTCTGAACTGCTGGTCTGATGCATTTTCTTCAATACTTTACTGAATATTAGTCATCCACTTACAACTCCTTACAATAAAAACAACATAAATCAAACAACAGTATATCAGTAATGCCTTAGACCCAGCATTGTTAAATAAAATATATAATGCAAACTACATATGCACTTTTAAATATTCTACTACCCACATTAAAAAATATAAAAAGAAACAGGTGAACTTCATTATAATAATATATTGTATTTAACCCAAATATCCAAAATATTATTTCAATGTATGTACTTTATGAAAAATTACTAATGAGACATTTTGTATTTTTTCCACACTAAGTCTACAAATCCTGGGTTTATTTTATGCTCCCCACACATCTCAACTGGGATGCTAAATTTTTGCCAGAAATACTTGATCAGGATTTACATTTCATAAAACTTACTGTAGAGAAAGAAGATTTACATACCCAAGTTATCCCAGACGTGCTTAAAATTTTGCCAAGTACTGAATCAGGCATCAGTCTATACATTTAAACTCTCAGTGGTTAAAATGAACAATCAGTTTCTTAGTCCCATTTACCACATGTCACGTGCTCAGTAGCCACATGTGGCCAGTACCTGTGACAGCAATGGCACAACCCTGGACAAGGCCAGGTCTTAGGCATCCATCACCACACCTCTCTGTGGGGGTATCAGCCTCGTGCTCATGAGCGTGAGATGCAGGAACCCAGGGACGTGACTTAGATGGGGCAGTTGACAGATGCCTCAAGGCTTTGGAATGAAACCCTCTCTGTTTGACTAAAAGCCCAGGCTTTTCCCACTATGCTTTATTTTCACATTAATTTTTTGAAGAATAGTTTAATGTACAGTAAAATACAAACTTTTTTTTGTTATTAAACTCTCAGTTCTGACAGGAGTATACAGTGTGTAGCTACTGCCAAAATCAAGATACAAACTGTCGTGACCCATTGTAGTCAGCCTGCCTCCCTTCCTTCTACCAAGTCATGTCAACGTGTCTTCTCTGTCTGTTTCTCTCTCCCTGTCTTTCTGTCTGTCTGTATCTGATTCTGTCTGTCTCTCCTCTGTCTTCCTCTATCTCCCTTAATATCTCTCCCCCTCTTTATGTTCCTCTGCCCACCCCTTTCAATATCTCCCTCTCTCTCTCTCCAGTCTTGTCTTTTCTGGAGTGGACTCATACATCAGGTAGCCTTTTGAGCCTGGCTTCCTTCACTTAGAATAATGCATTTGAGATTCACGCATGGTGCGGAGTATCAGTCAGTGTTCCTTTCAGTGCTGAGTCCATTGTGTGTCTCTTTCCTCATCTGTTCATCCACCAGTTGAAGGACTTTAAGTGTTTCCCGTTTTGTGTGATTATGAGCAAGACTGCTATAAATATTCATGTGAGTGTAAGTTCTTATTTCGCCTAGGTAAATACTAAGAGTAAGGTTGTTGGATTGAACAAAAGGACATGTTTATAAAAAGCCGCCAAACTGTTTCTACCACAGTGGCATCATTTCTCGTCCTCACCAGAGATGTATGAGAATTCTTCACATCTTCACCAGCGCTTGGTATTATCAGGGGTGTGTGTGTGTGTGTGTGTGTGTATGTGTGTGTGTGTGTGTATGAGTGTATGTGACCATTCTTGTAGGGGCCTAGTAACACCTCCTTGTGGCTTTAATTTGAATTTCCTCATGAGTTGACCCCATTATATTTACATGGATAAAATGAAACTTTCTGAGCATCCTTAGTATTCGGATCTCTTTGCTTATTAAATTGCCATTTCACTGCTTCCCTTGTCCCTAGTTTTGATGATGACCTTAGATGGCCCTTCTTCGGTCAGATGGACAACTGCTTTTAGACTCCACAGGGACATTGTTCCCAAGCTAATATTTGTCCCCTCACCACAGGCCCCACTCTTGAGACATCCCAAGGTCAGTGTGGTAATTGCTTTTCTCAGCAGAGCACTGGCTTGCTGGCCCCGGGGGCTCAGGGGGGTGAGTAACAAATCACTGTGCCACCTGGACTCAGTGCCCTGCCAGGGGCTGCCATCAGCTTCGCTTTGCTATTCAGCTTGATTCCCAGAGGCAAGGTGGGCCAGGTGGGCCTGACCCTTGTGCTGCTCCCTCTGCAGGCACCAGCATGACCTGGGACTCTTCTCCAGCTGCTCAGTGGCTGCAACCGTGCTTCTTATTTCAAGCAACAGTGGCAAGAAGCACATTTAAAGTTTATCAGATGCCAAGTGCCTCCTTAATGGAGATGAGTTAAAATGTGTGTGTCATTCTCCAGTCCTTGACATTACATGCAGTGAAGGCAAGTGGCATTTCGTGGAACTCTTGTGTCAGAACTACACATATACCTACGTGTGTTCACACACATGCTCATATGGGTGCAAGTCTCCTAGGCTGCGGCATAAAGGCATTTCACACTTGGATTGCCATTAAAACGTTTGCAAGCTGTTGGCCTAGTGTACACAAAAGCAAAGTGCCTTCCAAACTTATAGTCATTTATACAGGATATGGAGCCAAGAAGCAACTCAGGAATAATATAAGGGCTCTCAACAATCCAAATTCAAATAGGAAACATTCCGGTTCCTTCAGCGGAGGGATTGCTGTGGTGTTATGTGCCACTGCTGGTGAAACACTGCCAGGAACTGCAGATGAGTTCCCTGTTGATCTCTCCTCCCTATTCCTTTTCAGTACCCATTTTCCTGATTTTGTTCTCAGGACTTGTGAATCACACAGAAAATGTCCATCCAAGTGGTAGAGCTCTCAGTGGGAAAATAGGGGTGCAAGCATTCCATTTGCTGGGCATGCTTATTCAGAAGAACACAAGGAGGCAGCTGAGTGACTAATTCATACTGTAGTGCATCAAGCTAGAGGGCAGGTGTTGGAGGTGCCAGGAACCCCACAGAAGCAGACTCAGGAGTCTGATCTGACCTGTATATTTCCTTCCAGGAAGTGGATACCAAGGCCTTGGGGACATGTTTAGTGGGAGTAGAGCTTAGGAGAAAGTGTTCTTTGGAATCATTATCTGAAGGTCCCTCAGAAAGGCCACCAGCCCTGTGGCTTAGGAGAATCCTCAGAGGCCTGTATCAGGCAAAAAGTCCTAAAGAAACAGATTCTATTCTTTGTGAGGGAAATTTATAGTCAGTCTAAGAGAAATACCTTTGCAGCTGGTTTTAAAGGCTGAGGTGAGCTAAGGGGCTCTCCACCCCTAGATGTGCACATGAGAAGTCAGCCTTCCTCAAGCGCCACTGACTCCATTGCCTTGAATTCTGTCCCCACCCCGCCCTCCCCACTCTGTCTAAGTTAGGATTCTAATCAGTCCTTGTTGGCCCTTTGTCAGATTCCCTTGAGGTGTCCTTCCCACATAATTCTGTTCTCATTCTGACATTCCTTGTCCATTTTGTTTGTTTTCATTTGGGTTGGCATTCTTTCTCAAGGTCGGTCAGGTTACTTAAAAAAATTAAGAAAGAACAGAGTTTTTATTTTATCAGCTTAATCGTGTCATTAAAAAAAATAAAAGAACTTACTTCTGCGAAATTCTATCACTTTCTCACTGGTGTTCTCAGAATTGGAATAAATCTCAGTTAACCATGATCCTCAAAGAATGGGGAATAAGTACAATTATAATTTTGAGGTATTAAGTATTATCTAAAAAACCTGCCATTCTATCTTCTGTGTGTGTGTGTGTGTGTGTGTGTGTGTGTGAGTGAATGTGCACACATACTATTTTTTTTTTTCCACACACACTATTTGAATGACCTTTTGGCTTTGAATCTTGCTGGAACTTGTAGAGAAGTGAGGGGAAACTTTGACATAATGCATTCTCATTCTCAATAACATTTTTAGTGCTCAGAATGCAGACATAAAAGGAATAAAACTTTAAGTTGAATTTATACTTTCTCCAGAACCTTTTTGGATCATAAATCTCTTTTAATCGTCTATCTGCTTGAGGTGCTCTTCTCCTTTCAAAATATCAAGGGTATGCAAATCCCAGTACTGGGGAACTCCAGCAGGAGCACTCTGCGCTATCTAAGGATTCCTTTTCCAGAAGTGGCCGGGAAAAAGAGGACAGGGCTAATTACACTTATTGCAAAGTGACCATTGACTGGGACCCGAGTTGCTCTGGGAGGTAGTCACAGTCACAGTGAGCTGGTGGCACAGCGCGAGATAGGTGCCGGGCCACCAAACTGGGTTATCTGACCCCAAATATTTTCTTCGTTACTAACTGGGATTCTATATTTCCACCATGAAGAGCTAAACCTTCAAACCTGTCAACAGTCCCCCATTTGAGCAAAACCCTGTATTTTCTAGAAGGGGTAATGCTTCAGCTGTTTTCAGCTACTCCTACCAAGGGAGCATATTAGTAGCTCATCAATGATAAGGTCCTAATAATGGTTAGGAACAAAGTGACATCATATGAAGTGGGGAAAACAGATGGATCAAGGGGAGTGGGGTACTTGGGGGTGGGTATGAAATGAGCAAATTAAATTTCTCCCAGAGACTATGTGGCACATGGCATTTCCTGCCACATTCCTCCTCTTCTGCACCCCCTAACCTTGTGGAAAGGCTGAGGCTTCTCCCAGGGCATCTCCCAGACCACAGGCATGTTGGCCCACTGTGGTTCTCCATCTCTCACCCTTTTTCCTAGGTAGCAGGTATCAAAGGGATATTCCTGGCCAATAAGAAGGTGGATGAGCAGGTGAAGACATACATCACTTACAACAAAGGCAGGGATTGGCGCCTGCTGAAAGCTCCAGATGTGGACCTGAGAGGAAGTCCTGTCCACTGCCAGCTGGTCAGTCACCAGTATCATGTGAAACCCACAGGGTGGGCTGGTTAATGTGGGGCTCTCTTCATCAGGAGGCTCTGGAACTCGCCTGATGCTGCCCAGGGTGTGGATCTGCCAGGTCCAGCTGCCACATCACTTGCGTGGAATATGAGTTGATTTCCACTTGTTTTACTAAAGATAAATGACGTGTTCCAACTCCTAGTCAGGAAAAGGAACATGCAAGAGAAAGGGCCTGAGTTCAAGGGCCCCAGCGGAGGCAGAGGGCACCATACTTGCTAACTGGTGCTGCTGTGATGCAGTTCAGTACATGCTTAAGAGATGTTCTGGAAAGCAAATTGTCTTGGAAGCCAAGAAAAAGTCAGGCTGTGGATCCACATGGGATATTAGTTAATTTCTCAGCACCCCAGGGCTCCTGCTGTGCAGAACACTGAGGTCGGCACTAAGGAGAACGTGCCTATAAGACATTATCTCTCCCCTCAGGTGCTGCAATTCTAGGTGGAAGGGAAGGTGGTGAAATTCACAGCTCATAGTGGACTTTTAATGAGGACCCCGATAAGAAATTCCTCTAAGGTTGCAGAAATGGCTATGCTTCTTCTTTGCAAGAAGCTGCCTTTTGCCACATATTCAAAAACATTTCTTAACCGCTTGATAATAGTCTACACATTATGTTAAAACTAGAAATACCGGATGGTCTCACTCATAGCAAGGATTTAGAAAACCTAAATAAGGGATCAGGAAAAAGACTAATTATAATAAAGTAAAAATCAAAATTAACAGGCAACTATTAACCAGAGACACCCTATAGGGGCGAGTAAGGGAGTAGGAGCAAAACAAAGGGGGTGGGAATTTTATGGGGATGATAACCAAGATGAAAATGCATACATTGCATGAAAATGCATACATTGCATGAAAATGAAAAATGATGTAAAATATATATAAAATAATAATTAAAAAAATAAAACTAGGGATATGGGGGTAAATAGGGCAAAAATGGCCCTTCTCCTTTTGTGGTTTTTATTTCAGTTCCATATTTTTTGCTTCGAGTACAAAGAAGGTTAGAGAAAAATGAATTTTTTTTTCTGAGAGCTTAATCATCACTTCCTTATTTTCCTGACCTAATTCTCTTTTCCCAATTTCATCATTTTCTTTTTGGTACTTATTAAAAATTGTACATCTCTACAAATCCCCAGCCTCTTTCAAGAATGCACCAAAGATAATCAATCATAAATGATATACTTCTCACTGCTAAGTGACCAATAAATAATACAAGCATATAGGAAATTTAGTTAATGGCTTCACATGTTTTAAGTAAACTGATAAACAGGAGCTAAACACACAAAACAGAAACACCATCTGGTTGAAGAGTGGGTAGTCCTAGGCCAGGAGGCAGTTAGATTCGGCTAACCCTCTCCACCCTTCCCAGTGACGCCGAGAGCTCTTAGAAGTAGCGTGTGATAGTGAGGACAAGGTCAGTGTTATCCTGTGGTCAGGGAGACCTCACAAGGAAGGCCAGGCATGAGCTAGACCTTAATGAATGGGCTGGGGGTGAGGAAGAGAGAAGAAGCCGGCAACTTTATGGGACACGGCCTAGGAAGGATCATCTGGCAGCTTGTGCTGTGATCACTCCAGCTCTGTCAAGTGGGAGGACTCTGCCCAAAGCTGAGTGTGAGGCTCCTATCCCGTGCCTCACTGTCCTGGAAGCTGGAATCTAGGGGCCTCACCTTTGTTGGGGAGAGGGCATATGTCAGGAATATCCTGGAGTGAAGCTGTTTTCCTCTCCGTTTTAGCCCTTCTGCTCCTTGCACCTGCACTTGCAGATCTCTGAAAACCCGTATTCCTCAGGAAGGATCTCTAGCAAGGAGACGGCCCCGGGACTTGTGGTGGCAACAGGTAAGAAAGCAATCCCCTGGCCTTGTCTCTCTCTCAGTACTTCTTCTTTTAAAAAAAAACAAAAAAAAAACAAACTTTTTTTATATAAGAACTGGGGTACAGGCCAGATGCTCAGGAGGGTGAGAGGATTCACCAGATAGAGAGTGGGGAGCAGAACAGGTGGACTGACTGAAATACATTGCTGAGGGGAGCAGTGGGTGAGACAGGAGTGGTCTGCCACACCATGTGGGAATCTCCTTGACTGGCCGGAAATCGAACCCATGGTGCAGAGGCTACGGAACGCTTCACAGCACTGTGCTCAACCCGCTGTGCCACCAGGGAGGCCCTCTCGGAACTTCTTGAAAATGCTTAGAACCTCTGTCTGGATCATCTTTTGAGCATCAGATCAGTTTGTGGACGCTCTCCATAGGAAATCATTAGAGTCCCCAAGTTGTGCCTAAATAACTTGGGGAAAGAACTCCAAGTATCTGTCACTTCTAGGGTACCTGCCACCCTACACAGTCACAGCTCCAAGGCCCTCAACATAAACTGAAAGATCAGAAAGACTGAGTGCAGTGAGGCATTCCTACTCTAAGAAAACATGATATATGAACTTCCCAGCTCACCAAATAGATTTTGGGGTCCTTTTCTCTTTGCACGGAGGATTTCTTACAAAGGGTTTCACCCCAGAGCTGTTTTTAATCAGGAGGTCTCTGGAGCATGTAAAGGTTTGTTTACACATGATTAACCACTTGGCTGAAAGCCTGGGGGAAAGGGTAGAAAAACTTAAGGTTGTATCGTTGGAACCACTGTCCACTGAACATCAATCAGAAATGAAGATAAAGCAACTCTGAAATGAAAATGAAAGTCTCCAGGGAAATGTGTCTGATTAGTATGCATTTGATTTGCATACACCTTTTCAGGAAACGTTGATGGCATACAGCAAGGCAGCTTTCTCATCTCAGAGGGCACAGCTCTGGTGTCAGGCAGGTCTTTTCTAATGAAAGCAGATGTATTCACAGTGGCTTTCTGAGATGGCACATTCTCTTTTTTCACATCAGTCCGAAGCTGTGGCCCCTGCTCTCCTGAACGTGGCTTCCTTCTCCAAGTCCCCAGTCCTGTGAACTTCTCACTACCACCAACAACCAAGCACTCTAATTAAATGGCAGCCAGCATAACCTTGCACTTCTGTCAGCTCCTCCCAGCCCCATAGGAATTGGACCCACCACAGTTAATTAACACTGTTGCCTCAGGAAGCCCCTGACAGTGAGTGATGAGGGCAGGCCTGGAGGTTCTTCTGGCTGGGGAAGTGATGCCCACCCTCCATAATTCCTGTGGGTTGGCCCTCCCAGCTCAGCTGCTATGCACTAGGCCTCTCCTCAAGGCCTGCAGGAAGCCCTGGAGCAGAGAAGCAACAGTGGACAACAGTGATCAAGAAGATATGTTAATATTATTTAAATAGCCAGGCTTTGTTCTGTGTGACTGAACTATTCTGGACCTCAGGGATCTCACTGACAAAGAAGGAATAATAGTACTGATACAATAGAATTGAAGGATTCAATGATGCATGGGGTTTAAAGTGCTTAGAATAGTGCCTAGGCCATACTGAATGCTCGATAGGTGTTCCCTATGCCGTCATTAACATTACAGATGTTTGAACTACTCGACTTGCTTCAGAAGATCAGGGCTTGCTCATTTCCTTTGCTAGAATCCATAAATCACATGCAGACATTGTGCATACATGAATGAATGGACCCCCTCAGGAACCCTGTCGTCCTGTCCTTCAAATTGAGCTCTAATACTTACCAGCCCTGTGTATTTGCTTCACACTTTAATCTCTGTGTTTCATTTTCCTCATCTGTAAAACAAGGTGTTCTTTTCTACTTGAGAGAGCATTGTAAGGGTTAGAGCTGAGAGTGTATTCACAGACCCATCAGAGCTCTGCGAGCGGAGTGAGTTGTGAGTTGGGATTAATGTTTATTTCCTGTGACCTACGCATGCCCCCAAATTAGTCTAATATCAAGTCTTTATCTATTAACACCTTCAGATATTAAAGATTTGCTTAAACTGCTTTTCTTGGTCCTGATTCATAAGAATTGGCTAATTCCTTTTTCTCTCCCTTTTGTAACTCCTGTAACTGTGTTTGGCTCTTTGCTGAGCCCCGACATTGGAAGGAGAAGTAGGACAGCTGACGAGGTCCCCGTGAGGAGCCAGAGCCAGGTCACTGGCTCACCCTCCTCTTTCCCAGCTTCCCCTCACCCTGCTTGCCAGCTCTCCCCGGGAGGTCATTTGCTATCAGAAAAGGAATGATGAAGTTAGCCAGTATGCTGTCAGTTAGGCGGGGATGCCAGATCTCCGCAAAGATGCATGCTCTTCAGGGCCCTTTCCAACAGCCATGCGCTCACCTACTTTCAGGTGTTGGTGACCTTGGACTTTCTCCTTCCACACTCACCACTCATTGTCTTTTCCCATCTTGCACTGCGCTGTGGTCTCAGGGAAGCTGCGAGACTGAAAGTAATACTCTGGGATTCTTCTCACACTTGTGTTGAGGTCATCTCAGAAGGTAGATGGAATTCAAGCCTGCAGACTTTGGTCACTACAGAAGCCCTAGGGTTCTAAAGATCCTTGTCCTGGTGTCTACACACAAGTAGTCAGGAGCAACTGGCCCCGCAGTGCAACAGTTGTCCTTGCCTTGCTTGCCCAGCAACGTGAGACAATTACATTCTTCCTCAATTTGTAGAGGAAGAGATGGAGGGAAGGGACAGGGGTCATGTGCTGCCTGCACCCCCTCTAACTTCAAGTCTGGTCCATGCAATAGCCCTTCAGACAGAGGAGCCCCTTTCCATGTCATCTGCTCAGCTACCCCAGGCTCCCTGCCTTGCTTCTAGTAAACTCAAAGCATTCACATGCTCCTGCTGTTCCTGCCATGGAGGGCCTTCTCTTCCTGCAGTTAACTGTGCTCTGGTTGCCTCCTCCACTAGCCCTTAATCACCCGGATGGGCTTCAGTGGTGATGAGTAGCATCTCTATCTCCAGAGGATTCCAGAATAATTCATACAATATTCTTTCCCCCACTACAACCACACATGTGTTTAACTGAGAATCAGAGACATGTGGCCACTGCAAGAGATGGTCCACTCCACCCTTGCCTCCCTCCTCTCTGCTGTCACACACTGAAGTGGTGAAGAGCTACCTCTTTGTCTACTGGTCAGTGACCTCTTTGTAAGCCTCCCAGGTGCACCAGAGCCAGGGTTCATGTCTTCCTTCTCTGACACCATGACGCTTCCTATCAGATATCCCACAAGGCCCTGAGGGGCTCCCACACTTGGCTACAGCTGGGAACTAACTTTCTGTCTCTGGGATGAGTCATTGTATTCTATCTCCAGGATCAAACTTCACTGTGAACCTGTAAAACCAGCCCGATAGAGCTTTCTGGGAGAGGTTGGTGAGAGGTGACGAGGTAGGTCCTCAGAAGCCCTGTCTGAGGCGGCTGATCTCCAACTCTGTGGCAACTGTGCTCCTGCCTCCCTCTCCAGTTACCACCTTGATAGACATTACTAATTGATCACCACACTTAATTCTGTTAAAACCAAAGATGACTTCAGAAACCTTCTTAGCTCTGTGCTCCAGGCAGTTGCTACTGAGTGGAATGATTTGAGTTGACATTCTTTGTCCCATCCCTCTTTTCTTTATCTGTGACTTCCAATAGTGTATCTGAAGAGCCGCATCCCACATTCCAAACAGATCTCCACAGAGCTGCTCATCATGCTTCTCCTCATTCCACTTGCACCTATTCCAAAGTCCCAAGCCCCAAGGTTATTTTTAGAAGCCCAAGTGTCAAAACAAGTTGGCTAGCTTTGTGCTCCCTGATGCTGATGGGAGTTTGACAAGCTGGAGCCTGGCTTTAATTTCTCATTTTGAAGCATTAAATGTCAGGAGCTCAATTAACATTTTCATTATTGCATTTTTATTGTGCTCTTATTTAGGCTACAGTTGTGTGGGAGCTAACATTGCCTTCTTGCTGTTTTTAAAGAAAAAAAATACCAGCCAAAATGATCAATTCTTACATGCTCAAGGTATTTTCCTGGTTCTCTATCCTTCCCCAAACACACATAAACATTGGCACGTGATTCAATCATTAGTTTACTTGTGTCTCCATTGCACAGTTACTTATTGGGCAAAAACTACTGAGTTTGTGGCGTGGTTCTGGGCTCTGAGGGGAGTAATGTCCATGGGGGCAACTTTGACAATATAGACAGACTAGAAAATCTTGACTACTTCCTATTTTTAAACATATTACAAAGAAATGAAGTACATTGGGAAGGGAAAAAAGGGCCTGGTTTCAACCACTGGCCAGGAAGCTAACCACACATGGCGCAGCAGACCTCTCCTGTCTCGCCCACTGCTCCCCTCAGCAGTGTATTTCAGTCGATCTGCTTGTTCTGCTCCCACTCTGTCTCTGGTGAATTCTCTCACCCCCTGCACCTCTGGCCTGTGCCCCAGCTCTAGTATGCATAAATAAATAAATCCTTAAAAATAATAAAATTAAAATCGGGGCCTCCCCGGTGGCGCAGCGGTTGAGCGCTGGGTTGCGAAGCTGCCCGCGGCCTCTGCGGTGCAGGATCGATCCCCGGCTGCTCCCCGGCCACCAGAGGAGGGTCCCACATGGCGCGCAGACCTCTCTTGCCGCCCGCTGCTCCCCTCAGCAGTGTACTTCGGTCCTTCTGCCTGCTCTGCTCCCTGCTCTGGCTCTGGTGAATTCTCTCACCCTCCTGCGCTTCTGACTGTACCCAGTGCATGTATAAACAAAACAAACAAACCAGCAAACAAATAAATAAAGCATGCCTCTATAAAAAAAAAAAAGATATTAAAAAAAAATAATAAAATTTAAAAAATAATAAAACAGTGGTCAGTCTAGGCATAAGCCTGGTGACTTTGCCTGCTGCGTGGTGGCCATAATCTGCTGAGTATAATCAGCTTAACATGGGCATGTAGTTGAGGTTGCACAGAATATACTATTGGGTCATTCAACTGCCTGGGGCTCAGGAGACATGTTGACAAGTTTAAGTTGAAAACACCCACACAGCACACATGCATGTAAATGTACACAGACATACACGCACACAGTTTTTCTTTGGCTAAAATTATACATGAGAAGGAATGTGCCCTAGGGCCAGCTTCTCCATGTGTGTCTGCTCTTCTAGTCTTTGGCGAACACCTCTTTGTTCCTTCAGAGAACACCTATCAAGATCAATTTTAAGAAATCATTGTTACACAGATTGAATAGTTCAAGAAATCCAAGCTGTTCAATATTCAGTCTTTGAGACTTATTATTTAAAGACACACTCCTGTCATATTATTTACTTTCCCCCACATATCGAGTTTTTCTCCCTGCTGGGTTTTTGATATAACACAGAGAAACAGCATGCACAAATCAACTGTAAATATCACTTAGAAAACTTTTACTCTCTGCAACCTCCTCCCCTAACCCAAGATACTAAATCTGTAAGCTGTCTGACAATATTAAATGATCTGCTTATGTTTCAGGCAACATTGGCCCAGAGCTCTCATACACTGATATTGGTGTGTTCATCTCTTCTGATGGGGGCAACACATGGAGACAGGTAATTGGGAGACTGGGAACAGGAAAGGGGCATTTGGAGCAAGTTCTGTCACTCTCTCTTCTTATTATTGATTATCAGGTTCACTAAGGCTTTGTGGCTGCAAAAAAAAAAAAAAAAATGAAGTCCCTCTTCAGTTTGGTTGGTTTGACTGGCAGATTTGAAGGGCAGTGGGGTAAAATGGGAAGAGCACTGGAAGGGTAGAGGGAGAACTGGAATCCCCGGCTTGTTCATCTTTTCATTCAACAATATGTGTGGCACAGCCCCCAAGGGCTAAGTGTGTGCTGGTTTCTGAGGATTAAACCAAAAGTGACTTTTATCAATTATGTGCCATGGGATCTTGACAAACAGGTCTGTTCACCTTTCTCAGCCTGTCCCTTTACAAGATGAAAGGAGTAGAATGCTAAATCCAGTAAAGCTGTATAAGTCTGCATTGTGTAGGTACAGTAAGTATGAAAAGCTTAATAGATACATACTACCTGAAAAACATTCAACTTTATAAACATGCATAACAGACTGTCCCATAGAACTTTTGAGAATGATGAATATGTTCTGTATCTTGTGAAGTTACTGAGCACTTGAAATGTATGGCAGAGAAACTGAAATTTTAATTTATTTTAATTTAACTTAATCAATTTAAATTGAAATAGCCACATGTGGGTACTATCTTGGACATCACAGACTTAAAACAATGTCATCTAGGTATCACTGAGGATGCAGCTGAATACTTTGGAGTTCCTTTCCTCAAGAAACTCAGAGTTAAGGAGAATAAATGGACTCATAAATAACTAATTGCAAATTATGGTAATTGTATTATTTAGTGGTATTCTTGGAATGTAGAGAATAGAAAGGAGTTGGCTCTGCTTGGGGAAAACTAGGAAATAATTCACAAGAAAATTTGACATTTCACTGAATCTTAAAGTTGAAAAAATAAAGGGAAGGGCACTACATGACTTGATGATAAAGGTGACTTCACCATCTATAATTGAGTTGGCTCACTTCCTCTTTGGATCTCTTTGCAAAGATTATCATCACTATCACCAGCATCATCATCACCACCCCCATTGCCACTACTCTCACCACTGCCACTAACAAAAGAGATTTACCAAGGATCTAATTGAAATAATTATTTTAAGTACTGTAAGACATACAGCAAAGGATGTTAAGTTCCTATCTATAAGTCAGGTGGATGAAGAACAAAGGCATAAATAAGAACATATCTTCAAAATATAAGCTAATTTATTGGATGTGCCAAATAAGGATGGAAACTAGAATACAAACTCTTCTTGTACATAAACTCCCAACAGACAAGCCATTGTCCCTCTGACTCAAGAAATTATTCACCTGGTTAAGTGACCACTATATTATTCCTTCCTTGTGCTCTTAATACTTTGATATTCTTTTCCAAAATAAGTAAGAATTCCAGTTTCCACTTCAGTACTGGACAGAGCAAAAGTTAATAGTGACCAGAATGATAGTGTCAGGAATGTAAGGATGAGTTGTCTTTCCTCCCAAGCATCCAGAATGTGCTTGTAGCCCTCAGTTCTGATATTTTATCACAGAGCCCACCTTTGAACTCTGAAGAGAAAATACTAGCATTCTGGGCTTAGAGTTTATATCTGAAATAGAAATGGATGGCCCTTAGATCCTTTATGCATTGAGACACACCATTAGTGTAGACATTTTTCTTTCCTTAAAAAGCAAATGTGGAAAAGGTTATTGAGAGGTTTAAGTCTGAGTATTCATTTAATTTTTCTTAGTAGTATACTCCAGGGCATATGAAAAGGAGACCCCCATTCTTCCTAGGCACTCCATTTTAAATCTTTTTATACCTCCTTACTCCTTCAAGAATGTCTCACCTAATCCATTTTTCCAACCTTTCCATCAAGGCTGTAAAAGCCAATATTAGTGTTAAGAGCTAGAAGGATTCTCCAATTCCTCTTTCCTCTAGCAGATGTAAAGCAGAAGGTTGGTTCTCTACTAGAAAAAGGTTTGTCCTGTTTCAGTGTGGCTATACTAAAGTCATATAACAGAGCACTGATATATGTTCAACTAGGTCTAAAGTTTTCTTAACTCAGAGCTTTGCATCATAGTAGGTACTCAGTAAATGCTTATCTGTAGGTGAATGGATGGGTCACTGAATGAGTCACATGGGTGAATAGGTGAATGAATAGGCAACACATAAATGATTAAATAAAAGAATCTAGGTCCTGGAAAGTTCTGTGTTCCAATGAGCATTTAGAGTAAAGATCCCCAAACATCAAACTTGGGTCTTCATCCCACTTGCATGGGAACCTTGGAGGTGTTAGCTAAGTCTAAGAACTCAGTATTCATGTATACCATAATGTCTATGCAAAGTGTCTTTGAAGTTGCTACATAATTTATAAACAAAATTTTAAAACACAAACCATTTATATATTAGCAAATATCTGAATACATGAGAAAGAAGAGAGAACTGAGTAGTCACTAGTAAGATGAAAAAGACAGGAAAGCTTTTTAAGTCATATTTTCCTTTGGGATGTATACTTGAGAAAACATCTTGTTGGCTCACCTTCTTATAGCACACTGGTTGATAGTACTAGTGAAAAAAGCCCTGGAGATGCCATTTGAGTGGCCTAGGGAGACTCTTACTTCTTCTCTGCAAGCCCATTTCCTACTTGGTTACTTGGGGTGATAGTACTCATCAAACTACCTGTAGAGTTGTTGCAAACTCAGAAGCTAGATGAAACAATGTATGTTAAAAGACTTTGTAAATTGTTGAGCACCATGCAAATGTAAGGTGTTGCTATGATTGTTATTGTTGTTGTTGTTCCAGATCTTTGATGAAGAGTACAATGTCTGGTTCCTAGACTGGGGTGGCGCCCTCGTGGCCATGAAACACACTCCTCTGCCAGTCAGGCATTTGTGGTAAGGACAGTTCCCTGCCCTATTAATGAGTGATATTTTAGTGCAAAACATTGGGACAAGTTATGCTGCATGATTTTATTCCCATTCATCCATTTCTTTATCCATTTATCCATCCATTATCCATTTAGTATGCACTGCATCATCTAACTCTTAGATAACAGTAGGCCAGATAATTTAGATGAGGAAGTACAGTGAATGATGTGGGATGATAGGATCAAGCAATAAATGAGCAGAAAAGGGGCCTGTGATTTCAGACAGCAGTGATTAAGAATACAGAATATGAAAGGTGGAAATTGTTGCAAGTGGAAGATGAGCCCCATCTAACAGATGCTGAGTTCAGGTATAGATAAGTTGAGTTGAAAGACTTATGAATATTCAAGCAGAGATAACTATCATTGGCTGTCAGACATGGGCATCTGAATATCAGGAGAGAGGTCTGGACTGACAGTCTAGTTTGAATTTATTAGCCAGTAGGTGGTAAGTGGCAGGTAAAGCTATGTCACTGGGTTCAATGCCTCAGAAGAGTATGTACAATAAGGAATAAGAAATATTGAAACAAATTAAGGAGAAAGAGCCCAAAAGATAGAACCCCAAGAGAAATGTTTTCATGAAGGCTACAGGAAAAAGTGAGTAGTAGTTCCAAATTCTATAATCAACTCAAGTTGGTCGTAGAAGGAAAAAGATGTAGGATTAAGAAATGTAGGAGGATTTTGATTTTTTTTGTCAGTATAAATTCAGAAGAAAGGTGGGTGTGAAATTGCATGGTATTTATGAATGAATAAATGAGCTGATAAGCAATGGAGTAAAGATGGTATAAATAAATCTTATCAAGAAAGTAGATTTTGGAATGAAATTGAGTGTGTATTTTAAATATGCTTCAGTGTGGACAAAGAGCTAAGTGAGAATATATTCCTATGATGATGATGTTACTGTTGTTTGTTTTTGCCAAGGGATGGATAAATTTTGTGTGTTTATATTCTGAAAGGAAAGGTTTTCAGGCATCAGATTCAGCAAAGTGAATATCTGAGAGTCAATATTTGGCTGTAGAGAAAATGCTATTTAGGGTTCAGTTTGTGGGATTAGTCATGGACTGTAGATTGGACCTTGGCTTGATGACCAGACCCTCAATTTGGGAAGAGTAGCCTTTTTTAGAGTAAGAATTTTACTGGGAAACATAGATTGTTATTGGAAAAAGGCAGAAGATACCTTGGTGCCAAATCCAAACTTCAGCCACCTTGGCAAAGGCTTAAGTAAATACCTCTCAGTTTGGCCATTTATTAAGATAAATCATAGGAAATTGCCATTTTTAGATCAAATATGGTCAAATATTGTCAGTTTCTTGAACTCAATCTAACATAAAATATTTATACTTACCATTATATTTTCTTACCGAGAGATTATGAGAATAAATTTTTAAAAGATGCATGGAATCATTTATTTTTTAAAATCCTCTACCAATTCAAGAATATACTTGTAAAATCTCCTATTTTAATTGTTTATCATAATCTTACTGCTGATTTTATGCTCTTTAGGGATAGTATCAGAAGACTAGAGTTACTTGATCTTAATGCTAGTCACCCTGTACCTAGGAATTACTATACTCTGGACACTTTACATGCTATGAATTATCAAAATTATTTCTTGTAACAACCCTATGTATCTGTTACTCCTTTTATTACTCATTTATAGTGACATAAAAATGAAGGCATTAAATATCTTCTTCATGGCTACCTAACTCTTACCAAGTTGGTTATCTTTCATAAATGTTCTTCTGTTTTAACTTAATTTTCCAGATAATTTAATGAGTACATAGAGACCTATCACATGGCCCCTGCCTTCTTGGAGATGATAATCATGATATAGAGTTTAGACAGTCTTCATATTACCAGAAATCAAAACAGTGCCTTCTGAAGGATGCTGGCTGTTGGTATCCCTGGAATCCTGACGCATGGTGGGGTCCTGCCTCATGTGGAAGGGGGTCTTCCTACAGCAGGGACATGGGGGCATAAAAAAGGATGCCAGAGAGGTATGAACCTGTACCTCTGAATCACCTACAGTGTTGTAAACCAGTGTTACCTCAAAAATGCAAAAAAAAAAAGTAAAGCTAAATAAATTTTTCAAAAAAGGGTATCAGGAGTAGGAGGACTAATGGAGGCAAGACAGGGAAAGAGGCAAAAGCCTGGGATTCAGGAAGTATAGGAAGTCATCTGAAGACTAATCGAATGGATCAAGAGATTTAGTTTCATAAGGGAGAGTAGGATGCAGAAGAACATAAAGGAGGTTTTAGGTGGTTCAGGTTGAACCTTTAGGTAATTTCTTCTGTGATGAAGACCTGCCTCTGTGTGGAGGGAAGACTTCTGTCTCTGTAGAGGACTGAGTAGGATTTGTACTTTCAAAGAGGACAGCTTGACTTTTAAAACAAATTTCTCTGTGTTTTAACCAGCAAATACAGTTTTTCTCATCTTTGTCATGATGATCTAAATCTGCCATCTAAATCTCCAGAGGTGAATTGATAGATGCCCTGCAACATATAGAACTGGGCAGATTTCTTCTGCTTAAGCCCTGGGACAAGAGGGCGGCAGCCCCATTTTTATACTGGGCCACCGCCCTCCTGTGCTTTCTTCTTCACTTCAGTAGGATCCTATTCCTTACATGTGGCTGATTTGTAGAGCCAGTGCACAAAACATTCCTTGTTCAAAGGGTAAAGGGAATTTGTTGCTGTTTCCTTTCAAAGATAGAAAAGGTGAGTATATTTGTCGTGGACAGAGTGTATGAGGCAGAGGGACTGGGGAGGGTTTTGGCTTTGGGGAATTTTAGCATCTTACATCTCATGGTCCAGTCTGTTCTGCACTAGTTTCTCTATAGAGACTTGATGACTTCCAAAAAGAGCAGTGATCTGGGAATTTCTGGAGGGAAATGATCTAGTTGAGAAAATTATTTAATATTCACTCAGGGACATGTAAATAGGATCAAATCATACTTCTCAAACTCATTAACAGAAAGTTTGAGTTTTCCTTTATTCTGTGAAATATTTCTTATTGGTAATATACATGTATACATATACATATGTACATATCTATAGATAGAACTTAAAAAAGCTGCATTCCTATTGAATTTCTGATGATGATGATTATGATGAAGACATAGCTGTAGCTACCCACCATTTGTTTGCATACCCAACTTACAAAATATTAAAGATGATTTTTCAGACCAAGCTTTTTGGACTGTTTTCTCTATATAGAGGATATTGATACTGTCATTTGTCACAAAGGCTACAGCCGTCTCCCTGAACTTGAACACCATCTATGATTTCTGTTTGCCTATCTGTGAATGCTGTTCTCTGAACTACTCCCTGCAGTGGTTAAATGCCAGCTTTTGAGCATGTGTGTTATGAACAGCAACAGCAAATAACTCATTCAGGAATTCTCCTTTGCACTTTTTTTTTTTTTTTTGCAAAGGCTAAGTGGGTATTTTGTAAGGGCTTGACCATATCATTATCATCAATATTTCCTTACATGACTCTTAACTGACTTTTTCTCCTGCTCATGAATGGCAAACTTAAGTGCAGTTGTTTCATCACAGATAGCTTCTAATTAAGTCACAACCTTTGAAGTAAAGACAGAGCTCATTTTAAGTGGAATAAAGGTTAACTAATCAGTTCATTGTTATTTTCTGTTCTGGATCTCAGACTGACATTATTTTGCATACAGATGTATATATATTTTTATAAGAAAAAGACACCAGCCCACCCACTCACACAAAGGCATAGTATCTCTCCAATTTAAATAATAGCTATAATGCCTTTCACGGAAAATAGAAGTCATAATTGCAAAGCTAGAGAAACTTTAGCTAGGCTAAAAGGCATGCTGTTTCCTATAAATTGAAATGATGGGTAGCTAGCTATGCATCAAGACAAAACAGCATACAAATGAAGTCAGCTCTCCGTGACCATGTACATTTGGATGCGCAGCTATTAGAACCTAGGTGCTGTTTCAGGTAAGCTTGCCACTGCTGTCGAGTATTACCTTTCACCTTAGAGTGAAATGAACAGTGGAGGCCCACAGAATGCAGCACTTTAATGAAAACTCACAGTGGACAGACTGAGCAGCAGGTAGAATGGGGTCCTACTGTTTGCCTAGACCCGACAAGCTGTCAGTATCCCCTTTTGATCGAATGTTCTTGGAAACAGTAAACAAAACATCACCTGGTCCTTTTGTTCCTTTGTTCATCTATAAATGGTTGTGAACACCTGCATGACATTAAGAGAAATATTCACGTGAAAATAATCATTCCAACCAATATATGCCTCTGAGAAGCAAAAATGTGTGTGCTATTCTGAAGAGCTTCTGGTGGCCAAACACCACCACATGTGTTGCATTACAATTAAGTGGAGCACTGCACCTCACCAAAGGGAGGAAGATGGATTATCAAGACCATTATAACTCAGTGTTTCTGTGCTAGGGAGAATTCTGGTGGTTCCTAGAAGTCTCTGTTTCTGAGAGTGCATCTCATCTCAATTCTATAGTAAAAAGTAATAGGCCCCAGCGTAAGGGTCTTTGAAGATTTGAAGTCTGGCTCCACGTCAAGTTTAGCAACCAGTCAGTCACCACCTCACCAGAATGTCCCAGTGCCACCATTTTGCAAACATGCCAGACAGCGCTCCCATCCTGTATGATGGCTCTCGTGGTTAGAAAAATTGTCTTAATGCTGAACAATAATGAATCTACTTGTAATTTCTGTTCATTGGTCCCCATTCTACTGCCTAGGACTATGCTGAATAAGTGTGCTTCAGAATAGTAGGGGGTTTAGACTCCTACAGCTGGAAGGAACCTCAAGGGGTTCTTGTTTGCTTGTTTGTTTGTTTAGTCTTTCTAAGTCTTGGGAAATGATCAGATATGCAACTCATGACAGAATGTATGCCTTTGTTCCCTCATCTATCATATATTCATTGGCCATATATTGTTTTTCCAGCATTAGTATAAGGACTAGGATATACCAAT